CATTGACCTTAAAAATTAAATTTCGTAGGATTCAACTTCAGATATCAGTAGGAATTCGGACCAGAGTGTGAGCTCATTCGACTCATCTAACACAAAGAGGAGGAAAACTCTAAGGACAACCAATGCTTACTTCTATTGGGTCACTAGAGAACAAGGGTCGTTTGATTGGTTCAAAGGCGTCATGAATGAAGTCGCCGAACTTGATCAAAGGGTAATTAGTTACACATGATCTCAAAAAATCACGTCTTGTATATATATTTCACGGATAATAAACTTTAATTCTATACATATTTTAGGGTGTCATTGAGATGCACAATTATTTAACTAGTGTGTATGAGGAAGGTGATGCTCGTTCGGCTCTCATCACCATGGTTCAGGCACTTAACCATGCTAAAAACGGGGTTGACATTGTATCTGGCACGAGGGTAAGATAGTTTTATTTTTTATTTTTTCTCTTAATGAACAAGCCTAAACTTTTTATTTTAATTTGTATCTATATTTTGCACATTTTCTGAACCTTCTGAGTGTCTGATAGGTGATGTGCACTTAACTATACAAAATCGATTCTTACAGGTTAGGACGCATTTTGCGAGGCCTAATTGGAAAAAAGTCCTATCTAAGATTGGCACCAAACATGCCAATGCAAGAATAGGTCAACATTCAATTTCAAAAGCCTATAAGAACACACAGTTTCTCATTCAGGCTTCTAACATTCATGCATTTGTTACTTGTTATGGAATAGGCGTATTCTACTGCGGGGCACCGGTATTGGCAAAAGAACTCAACCAGCTGTGTTACGAGTACAATCAGAAGGGCTCGACCAAATTCGAATTCCATAAAGAACATTTCTAAGACATTTTTGCTGAAATACATATATGGGAACACATGGACTCTAATTATGGAAAGAGCTAGGGAGGCAATAATAATAATTGTATAGTTCATAGGTAAATAATGTTAGAATTACATAAATACGAGTGTAAATGTTTTTGAATCTGTGATTCTTTTAGAATATCATGAGACAGCACAACTAAAAAGTGGTTGTGGATGGAAAATACTCAGCATAAGACACGCTGTTGGCTTTGCCCTGTGGATGACATCTGATCAAGATCTAAATTCTATTATAGCTATATGGGAATTGATATTCTTGCCTAGCTACTTGATGATCAATGTGGAAAAGAAATTTCAGAAAAGCAAGGTAAGTTTTGTCCCTCTTTGGGTTTATTGGATAAATTTGTGTTCAATTCTTAATTATTGGCTTTGAACAAGTTTTTGTCCTCTTCCCTTCCTATCTTTGTATTTACAGCATGCCTCAGTTAATGTGAAAATATATTGGCATTCACTATTTCCTTTGTGGTTTTCTTCATGAAACATCTTTGTGTAAATTAGGTGGCTAAATTCGTCGAAAAAAAAGTTTATGTTGATCACTGTCTTTAGTGCTATTGTTAGATATAGTGCTCACAAGTGCTATTTTTATGTCGTTCTAATTGATTTTGCAGAGCCAACATGTAGGATAACGTCGGGCAGATCATATAGGTGTATCTTCCACATGTTGGAAAACTTATGGATAGAATTGTTTGACAATAAATGTTTTTGATTGAAATTTATGGGATTAAATATTATACAAATAATCTAGCCGCCCATGGACCAATGACCTCTAGCAATTGAACTTTTGGGCTGGACTTCTTCTGCATTGAGACGACATGGGCCTTGGCTAGTTCTACTAAGCTCAACACCCTTGAGCAAGTGTCTTTGGCAAATTAAAATTGCTACATCTGTTCAAAGAGAATCGATGAAAGAAAAACGATAGGATGCAAAAATTTTAGGACAATGTTACAACTATAGAAATAAAATGCGTGTTAAGAAAAAGGTTTATTGCCATAGAAACTTTGACATTTTCACTTTTGACAATTTAATCAAAACTATTGGATAATAGCAATATAATCTCTACATTGTCTTACTTTTGCAAAATAAACTTAAAACCCGTCGGACGTTCAAACAATGCCCGCGTATCCGGTTGGTATATCTACGTGTCCGGCTGGTTATATCTACGTGGACTAATTTAAATACGTGGAATTCTCAAAAATTCATCACAAAAATCAGTATAAATATCTCCATTTATTCCCAATTTCACATCCAAAATCCCTAAATTCTCAAACCTATTTTCGAAAAGTTTATTTTTATTTTTTATTAATTTTTTTTTCTTATGATAGCTCGCGCAAGCCACTAGTGGAAGATGTCGTCTTCGTCTCGCGCAAGCCAGGATTTTGAAAAATTCTGCGTTCCAGCGAATCATATACACATATATACATGTATATATATTCCCCCCTGATTTTTTTAAGTCTATATATATATATAGAAATTCTTATAAAAATATGTATAAAATACAAATAATACATATAATATATTAGTAATTAAAACTTACTTTTTATGCTATTTTAATTTAAATTAATAATATTATTTATTTATTAAAAAATATACTAACTATCCTTATATTTTATATTTTTGGATAAGTTTTTTAATATATTTACTCTTTCGGTCTCTTAATTATAGATCGATTAATGGTTCAGAAAATCGAGTATTTAGTTGGATTGTTACATTTTTGAATGACAATTTTTTACTTTTTTTGTGTAATAATATGTTTTTAACTTTATTTTTTTTTCTTAAAAAATGCTTATTTAATACGCTCGTCAACAAAAATGTTATGCAATATGTTCAAAGAAATCAATTTAAATCAAATTTCAAGCACAAAAAACATATTTTTCCACAAATTATAGATATTGAACTTAAATTATAAATACATGAAATCTCATTATTTTTTTGTTTATTTTTTTTAATGTTTGAGGTTTATACGAATTCTAAGTTTTTAAAATCTTGATGGTAAACATATCGATATTTTAATATGTAGTATTTTTACATAAAATGAGTGTTTCGACTTAAACTACAAGCTCGCTATTTAACATTTAAAATCGGGGCTCCCTGAGTAAAATTCCTAGATCTGTCACTGCCTGCGAAGAAGCTCTGTCGCCAGGGCAAGGAAGCTGATATGTTGACCTCCATGACGCATGAGAATCCATGTAGAAGGTTCTATAGATATAGTATTAGGAAGGTGAGCTATCGTATATTTTGTGAGAACCCTAATTTCTTCAAAACTCCCAAATTTTATAAACCTAGTTTCTTCAAAAATACCCAATTTCTATAAACTCTAATTTTTCAATTGTAATTGTTTAGCAAGGGGACGACTACGGTTTTTGCGATTGGATTGATCTCGCGCTTCCTTGTTCCAAAAATCATATTTTTTGCAATTGAAATTTAAGAATGAGTCCTTGGAAGAGCAGTAGAGGCGTAATGTTGCGCTGGAGAAAATGTACAATTGAAAGACATTAGAAAAAGATGAAATTGTGGATCGTGACATTGGCTTTGAACAAAAATTGAATGATCTTAGGGTTGAAGTTCAAAAGAATAACGAAGTCGTGTTGGTTCTAGAAGATACATTATACTCTCATGCATAAACTGAAAAAGAAGATGAATGTTGTAATGTTTTACTTGTTTATGGTTATACTATTTTAATTCTTAGTTTGATGTGTTATAAAATTATATTGTAGGTTTTTTTTTCTAAAAAAAAAAAAATACTATAGATAATTTGATGTATTCTGAACATATTTTTCATAGATAACATATATTTTAGTGTTTTTATATATCCATGTTGAGAAAGTTAGATGAAACTCAAACACTAATCGGACACTTGTATGGTTCTCAATTTTCATGATCACGGATAGTTTTATTTTAAATTAACGTATTGTAAATAATTAAATCAATATTTACTTATAATAACAATAATTTTAATATTATTTATTCGTGCACTGCGGGGATACGACTAGTTAATATTAAACGACACCACGTCAACGACTGTATATACTATCAAAGATATACTTAAGTAGTCATATATATGAAATTACAATAGACTTTACAAATTATGTTTTGCATTTGTATTAGTAAATGATATCCCGTGATTACTACATACTCATAAAGATTATTTTGTTTAGGGTGTGATTAGATATAACTTGATCATTAAAAAATAAATCAAAATTAAAATTTAACTTAATTTTAAACGAAGCCCATTATTCTAAATATTATCAATATAATAATTAAATAATTAATAATATCAACCAATCATTCTTACACATTACATCAACTTTAATTCACTATTCATGGACTCATATAATTTCAACTAACTATTACTTACAATCATTTTTCTCTTACTTTACATCAAATGAACTTTAATTATTTTATTTAAATATTATTTTAATTTAAACTTAAATTCTCATTAACGACTAACTATATCACATTTTTCAAAATTAACAATTGTTAACAAAAAAATCAATCAAAATCCACTCACGATACAAATTGTTTTAAGTAGTTATCCAATTCGCCAATAGTGCATTAGATTTTAATTTGCAATTGTTCATCTCCAATTATATGTCAAAATATAGAATTATATGCAGGCTTGGCATCATTACTTTAAATGGTTGAAACTTTCTATTGAACTGAATTTTGCTGCTTAGTCTTGTCATCTCAGGCCTCCCACTGTTCCATCTATCTTCATACCAAAGCTCGATTCCCTCATTCAATTGGCTTCATCTATCATTATATTAAAAGATTAACCATTTAACACTTTTAACAAGCTTTTCCCGCCAAATACATTTAATGTCTCCTAAAAATAGATTATCATTAAATGTTGCCCTTAAATCATGGGAGTTGTTAATTTAATTTGGAGAAAATCGTGGCAACTAAAACAAACAACATTAATTACGGCTGATTTAATATTTAAATGGTAAACAAATATTACTTTTTTATGACTGGTTTAAATTTACGTCTGTTTAAAAGTAAAAAACTACTTTTGTGATTTCAACAAATTTGTACTCTTTAATGTACGGCTGATTTAAAATTAAGAAATTTACTTTTGTATTTTCACAAAAAATCGTATAAAGAAGTATGGCTGGAATAATAATAAAAAATTAATTTGTTAAACCATATTTTGCACTCATATATACGAATTCTCATCAAATTAGATTTAAAATTGTGAAGAATGTATATAGATGTGGACTGATTGAAAATATATGATTCCTTAAATTAAGGAATTTTTTCCGGTAAAAAAAAAATATAAACTTTAAATATAGATTTTATTAGTAGTGTATACCAAAGAATATTGTTACATTTAAAATTCTTATGAAGAAGAATTCTATTAATTTTCAAATTCAACATCTCATAAAAATAATATAATACACTTTTACATCTATGAAACAATATTTAAAACCCACCGTTCAACATACATAAAATGTAAAATTACCTAACATGAGTCATTTTAACTTTCTAAAATCAGTACACAATTTGCTCGGTATGTACTAATAGTCTAATAATTAAGCGTTAATATTTGCTATGACATCTATTGGTTGGAAAGAATTCCATTTTGTATGGAATTCGAAATAAAAAAAACATATTATGAAAATCAAATCTGATTTAGAGATCGATTTCTTAATGGCTTTAAATTATGCAAATATATTGTTTCAGTTTTTAGGATTCTTTTTTATGATCTCAGTCTTTGCATTATATAAAATCTATACTTATTTAAAAAGTCATCCTATTTATTAGAAATAGTAGGCAGAAAAGTCAAAGGTAATTAATGCTTGCTGGAAATAGAATGATATTAATTACAGATTTGTTTTGGTATTTATAGGCTTGACATTAAAGATTTATTATGGGATAAAAATCAGAACCGACTTTTTTACCTTTGCTGGAAAAGTCAAAGGTAAGTATAGATTTGTTTTATCCCATAGCATCGGTTTAGTTAAGAA